CCTCCCATTCTACTTTTAAATACTCTAGGAACAACAAGTAGGGCTGCAGTGCGAAAGCGATGTTCTCTGATGGGGTGATAGGGTACTATAGGGAAGATAAGATGGGGCCTGATTATTTAAGACGTATGTGAGCAGCAGCACTTGTATGTGAATTCAATTAATAATGTATTACAAAGTAATACATGCATGAACTAGTTTTTCAGCATCACTCTGAGACGGGATATTTCTAATTTTAGACATGTTGCGCAAATGGAAGAAAGCAGTCTTACATAATGTGTTTAATATGTGAATTGAAGGACATATACTGGTCAAAAATGACTCCAAGGTTCCTCACAGTATGCCAAGGTAATGCCAAGGTAATGCCATCCAGAGTAAGAATCTGGTTAGATACCATATTTCTAAGATTTTTCAGGGCTGAAAACAATAACCTCAGTTTTATTGGAATTTAGAAGCAGAAAGTTAGCGGCTTTAAGACACTCCTGCAGTTTAACTAATTGGTGTGTGTTATCTGGCTTCATGGACAGATAGAGCTGGGTGTCATCTGCATAGCAGTGAAAATGTATACTATGTCTTCTAATGATACTGCCTAAGGGAAGCATGTATAATGTAAACAGAATTGGTCCTAACACTGAACCCTGTGGAACACCATAATTAACCTTATTGTGTTAAGAAGACTCTATGCACAAATTGGAGCCTATTAGATAGATATGATAGAAACCACTGCAGCGCAGTACTTGTAATACCTACACCTGCTCCAATCGTTCTAGCAGAATATTATGGTCAATAGTTTCGAATGCTGCACTAAGGTCTAGCAGGACAAGCAGAGATGAGTCCACTGTCAGCGTCTATAAGAAGATAATTTGTAACCTTCACTAAAGCCGTTTCTGTGCTGTGATGAGCTCTAAAACTTGACCGAAACTCTTCAAATAAGCCATTCCTCTGCAGATGATCTGTTAGCTGTTTGACAACTACTCTTTCAAGGATTTTTGATATGAAAGGAAGGTTGGAGATTGGCCTATAATTAGCTAAGACTGCTGGGTCTAGAGATGTTTTTTTAAGTAACAGTTTAACTACGCCCAGCTTGAAGGCCTGTGGTACATAGCCGATTATTAGAGATGGGTTGATGACACTTAAGATTGAAGCATTAATTAATGGCAGGACTTCTTTGAACGGTCTTGTAGGAATGGGGTCTAAAAGACATTTTGATGGTTTGGAGGAAGTAATTACTGAAGTTGGCGAAAAAGAGTCTAAATGAATATCAATGGCATTGAAAGTAGCTGTAGACAATGTGAGGTGATTGTGAGTAATTTAAAATTTTATTTGTGAAGAAGATCAAGCAACAAACTATTTCTCCAGGCTAAATGATGATCTTCTAAGTTTGTGACACACCATTTCCTCTCCAGCTTACGAGTCATCTGCTTTAGGCTGCGTGTTTGAGAATTATAGCACAGAGTCAAATACTTCTGATTTGAGGCATTATTTTTCACCGGAGCTACAGTATCCAGAGTCGTACGTAGTGAGGAGGTAAAATTATTAAAAAGATAATCAACCTCTGTTGGAGTAGCGTTCAGGTAGCTGCTCTGCTCTATGTTGGTACAGGGCATTGAAGATGATAACAGTGGGTGGATTATGTTATTAAACTTAATTACAGCACTTTCAGAAAGACATTTAATGTGATGAAATCTACTCTCCACTGCTGTGTAATCAATTATTGTAAATTTAAATGTTATCAGGAAATGATCAGGCAGGAGAGGGTTTTCAGGAAACACTTAAATGTTCAGTTTCTATGCCATATGTTTAAAACGAGATCTAGAGTGTGATTAAAGTGGTGGGTGGGTTCTTTTACATTTTAAGAGAAGCCAATTGAGTCTAATAACAGGTCAAATGCCATGTTGAGGCTGTCATTTTTAGCGTCTACATTGATGTTAAAATCACCCACAATAATTATTTTATCTGAGCTGAGCACTAAATCAGATAAAAAGTCTGAGAAATCAGACAGAAACTCTGTAAGGCCCAGGTGGACGATAGATGATAACGAATAAGACTGGATTTTGAGTTTGCAGCTAGGGTGGACCAGGCTAAGCATCAGGCTTTCAAATGAACTAAAGGTCTGTCTGGGTCTTTGGATGGTGTGGAAAATTGTTGTACAATTCGCACTCACATTCACACCTATGAGTTTCCATTTAATTTGGAGTTTTCCAATTAACCTATCCCCACTAACTGCATGTGGGAGAAAAGTGGGAGAAAGCCAGAGGATCCGGGGAAACCCACGGGGAGAACATGCAAACTCTACACAGAAAGACCCTGGCCTGATGGTGGAATTGAACTCAGGACCTTCTTGCTGTGAGGCAACAGTGCTAACCACCGTGCCACGGCAGTTTTGATCCTTTAAGTGAGAATATACAATGTAAACAGTCATAGAAATAAAGAAGAAACATTAGTTGAGAAGGTGTATCCAAACGTTTGACTGATAGTGTATATCAATAAAGATGGACCCAAAAAACACTGTAAAACACAAAGGGGCACAATTATTAAGGGCAGAATTTTCTACATCAAATCTCTTCTGATGAAATAATGATAATTTTTGCCATTATTCCCCATCAAGAAAAAAGATCTTTCTCTGTGCCTGTGAGGGGACAGTTTCTTTTATCAAAAAATTAAACACTTTGAAAACACTTCAATTCTCAATAGCAAAAAAAATTATCATTCAGCTTTCTATCATTTCGAGAGCATATCTGCATTGTATTACATATGTAAGGGGAATGACAACCCCCATTGGCCATGTCATGTGGATACTTCTTTAAGACACTCCGGATAGCCCGGCCACGCCCAACAGCTTATGTATAAAACAGCTGTGCAGACATGAAACCAGTGATCGAAACAGTTTAAAACTTGTCCTCAAGCAGCCCAAAGCTGAGTTTGTGCTGGCTTCCAGTCTGGCATAATGCCCATGGTCTTGCAGGTTTATGCGGTCAGCAGGACCCAGCTGTGTCATAAATGTGTGGGTTGCAGCATCTCTATGCCTCTAGAAGATGGACACGAAATGTTTGTTGTGTTAGGGTTACAAACATGCTATTGTGACCAGGCCCCATTTTTGCATGGACTGGGTTTTTTGCCAGAGATGCACGTGTTCATTTTTTTTGTCCTTAGCGTGACGGCTCGCTCTCCACTTCCTGACATGCCCAAAACAAAGATGGGCAAAGGCTATGCTTTACAGACTCGCTGTGTTCTTTGCACAAGCAGCCCCCCTCTCTGCAGGACACTTGTATGCCCTGGGGCAAATTGCCTGTGGTCCGCTTCTTCTGGTGGATCAGGCTTTGGTTGGCCTCTAACGCAGGGCCATGTCTACCCAGGCCTGTCAAGCCAGTTCAGTGCCCATTGTGTCCTTCTACCTGAGGCACCTGTCCCGTCAGTTGTAGGCAGCTTCTGGGGACTCTGGCTATGCAGGGAAGCTGCTATCTGTTGCAGTCTTTGCACCTTGCGGGATCCGTTGAGCCCAGTGTTGCGCCTGGCAGACTGTTGCCTTCCGCCCTCTAGCTCAGCCTTTGTTTCTGGAGGATCCATCCATCCATCCATCCATCCATCCATCCATCCATCCATACATACATGAACTGACCTCCCATGGGCTGGTTTCAGTCATTATGCAAATGTACTGTTTATAAGATTGGGGAAACCTGCAGTCAGCTGAGACTGAAGAAGTCACTTCGATGAGTGACGAAACGTTTCTCCCACAAAACGCTACGCCCAGATGAACAGAATCAACTTTTGGAGATAACACTGTAGGGTTTGGGTTGCACCATTTCCTCGTTGAGTGTCTTAAAGAGTTACCCTGTACATATGGAATATGTAAAGGAGTAGAGAGATAGTTTCGATATGTTCGAGAATGTATGGTTACTTTGTAGCCTTGGTTCTCTGATTGAGACTCTCTCAGGCTTCAGGCCGCTAAGGGACAAGTTATAGTTAAACCATTTCCGAGCAATTCCACGTCTGCACAGCTATTTTATATGTACAGTGTGGGGTGTGGCTGGGCTAGCCAGATGTCTTAAAGAAGTATCCATGTGCCATGACCAGGGCAAGAGATCATTTCCCAAACATATGTAATGTATAACGGAGTGGAGCAATAGACTCTTACTCAGAGAATCAAGGTTACAAATTAAACACACGATATTCACAGGATAAAAAAATACAACACATCCCAAAATATCAAAAATTGCTGCTTAAAAAGGATACGAAAAAAATGATCAAACTCACAGTTTCTTCAAGGACATCCTTCCCAGATGCTATAGGATCGCTATAGGGATACAAAAAGAAAAAGAAAAAATATAAAGTTATATATACTGTATTTCAAGGGTCATTGTTATCTGTGCAGCACAAGACAATACAAATGTTTAAATATTTGTTATTGAAAGCATTTTTGTTATTATTGTCTTACTCTGCTTTAAAAGGATGGGCTCTGCGGAGATATCCATCCTCTGAAGGTGATTCTGTATGAACAGAAAGTGATAGTGACTTGCAGTAAGCTGGATAATTTCAGTGTCATTTCAAATGGGAACATTAACTTTACTAATGAGGTTAATTAATCACAGTAGTAGACATTTTGTTTAGCTGCTAAATATTATCATATGCAAAGAAAAGTGAGAAATGATACCTGGGGATTTGTGTTTTTCAAGGATTTTGTCTTTGTCTTCAGGGTAAAAGCAGAGCAGAGGATTTCTTGTTAACACAAGTCCCCCTAGGTTTGATTCCAGGCGGAAGTGGTAAATGATGTGTAGTAAATCATGTTTGGACAGCTCTTTTTTGGTGTAGGGCTCTACTGTAGTCACAATAGACTCTGCAGAGGAAGTAAACAGACAAATAGAAATGTCTAAATGTGATACGTGTACATAACTTCATTAGAGAACAAATCAGTGGAGGCAGCCATAAGAAGGAAATTATCTTTGCAGTGCTGCAAAACAAGGGGGTGGACATGGAATATTGTCTCACACAGATCTGCAACATGGCTGCAGCTGGAGTTGGACAGTTTTTATGACTGATTTGACCAGAAATGCAGTGTACTTGGCCTGACAGAAAGTGGAAACGGAGTCAGACAGTTGATTAAAGATGTTCATTAAAGATGAACAGAGACAAGTGTTCTGCTACATTATGGACAACATCAGTGATCAAATGAAGGCCAAAACCCATAGGAGGCACTGTAGGGATTGGGTACAATGTATGGTGGGTGGCAGTCAGAGGCGGTCCAATCCCCAGGAATTGAGGCTGGCAATTGGGACAAATCTTGCCACCCAACTGGTGGTAAAGGAGCCTAAAGCGTGGGATTGAGAAATACCAGCTAGATATAGTTGGGCTATGGAACCAGTCTCCTAAAACGGAGCTGGACTCTGTTTCATTTTAAAGTTGTCCTCCAAACTTAACTAGGGGTGGTTTTACTTGTACCACCTCGGCTTGCTGCAATTACGTTGGGGTTTTCACCGGTCAAGAGGTTGCTTCTCTGTGCCTTTGGGTCGTGAAATGGGCCCTGACTGGTTTCTGTGCTTATGCACCAAACAACGGTTCAGACTACCTAGCCTTCTTAGAGTCCCTTAGTGGGGTGCTTTATCAGGTGACTCTGTTGTCCTAGTGAGAGAGACTTAAGTTCTCACAGGGACAATGACAGGCTGCCCTTGACAAAGAAAATGAAAATGAAATGGATAATTCTAAACTAACTAGGAGTTACAACTAGCTCCATATAACCGCAACTGTATTTTTTCCATTAAATATTGTGTATTTCAAATTATTTTTGCCCTTTCTTACATTTGTTGCTTTACAAACTGTTACGTCTATATAGATAAATTACTAATTTGCGCCATCTTGCAACAGGCCTGATGTCAACTTTCCTATTTAAAAAATATATAATAAGAAATACTTAGTCTCATGCATTGATTACAGCTGTAGTTAAAGTTGTGATCAGAAGTTTATGATCCTAAACACACAGGATGGGTGTATGTAAACTTTTGACCAGAACTGCAAATGTTTGGGTGAGCCAGAAAAATTCTAATGGAGCAATAGCAAGGATTTAGTTGCATCTAATGACAAGGCTGCAAACTGCCAATAGAATCTCCCTCATTTCATTCCTCTCTTTTGAAAATGTGTTGGAGAACCTATAATAAGCGATAAAAATGCAAATGAGTCTCGCTAGTGTTTGGAAACATGGCAATGCAACATGGTTGACTCTATGGAAGAGAGTCAGAAAATACTTATTCTGAAGTGACAAAAGCATTAAAAAAAATTGGGGGGTGATTGGACCCCAATAAAAACGTAACTGTGAATGCTGTATTCATTTTCTGGCAGTATATTGCCTTAAATGGTACATAAAGGATTTCTGAAAAGGTCTTTAGCACACACAAACTTACTCTTATTGGAGTCATGGTCAACCCAGCTGAAGGTGATAGCTGCATCTCCGTTGCTCTCGAGAAAGTGAAGCAGAAAGGTACCGGGATCTTTTTCCTTTAGGAGTTGTTCCACCCTCTTGATGGTCATAAATCCTGTGATGTATCTGAAATTAAAAAATATCATTAAACAAAAGACAAAACACTTTGGAAGGGAGCAGAAGTCTGTTTATTTGGTCACCCTTTCTGTGTCCATATTCAAAGACATACAATATAGTAAATAAGTATTTGCCCACTTCCTGATTCTTATTTTTTTTTAATATTTGTCACATTAAGTAATTAATTATAGTTACTAGTTACTTCTTCAAAAAAGTAACTGAGTTAGTAACTGAGTTACAAGATCGTAAAAGTAATTAATTACTTGAAAAGTAACTATTGCGTTACTTAAAAAAAAAAAAAGTTTAACCATGGGGTCCAGGTTATAATTGGCCATTTTTAGCTACTTTTGATTTTACCTCTACATTTCACCTTTAAAAACTATTTACTTTGCCTTGAATTTCATCATCCTTTTCAGCACAACCTCACGTGTCTGAATTTACAGTTATGTTCTCATTTTTTACATACTGTATTAACACAATTGATCTAAAATCAGGCAAAAAAACATAAAATCAGAGTAGAAAAAGTTATATTTTTTACTGTAACAACCACAAACATGTTTATTTAATCATATTTCATAACTTTAAATGCAAATATAAATTGTCAATTTTAAAATCATATGCACAAAGTTTTCAAACAACAAAGTTATTTGCATCCATTTACCTTTTACCTTGATTTTTTAAATAACCATTTCAAACTATTTACATAATAATCAGGTGTTTTGCATTCAGTAAGATGCTGCACAAATTATTTGTGTCACTCCAAAAAATAATTTCTGTCCACTATAAAGGAGAACATCACAGCCCAAGACCTGCAGGTCTGACAGCAGCAGGTGTATCACTCCTGTTTCTACCTGGAGACAGCAGTCGCCTCATTGTTCTGACAACACAAAAAACTATCCACAACGCTACACACTAACTACACAAAACAACACATGTCACGACCTGGAGGTTTAGCTGGTCGCTGATCAGCTGTTTCTCTCTCTCGCCAGGGCAGAACTTATTACGGGTTCACGCCCTTAGTCCACGCCCTCGGAGGAAGAAACACCTGTGCCTCATTAGTGTGGCTGGCATTTAAGCCAGGAAGCAACGGCTGTTCTTCGCTGGATCGTTGTGTGAATCGCGTCAGTGAATGTCGAGCGTCTAGCAAGTGTTTTTCCGTGTAGTTGTGTGTTTGAAAATAACAAGCGTTTCTTTGGACTGTTTTCCCTAGTGTTCCCTGAGCGGGGAGTGTTCAAGGAGAGAGACTGGATTCATGTGTGGATTGTTTGGAGAGAAACGAGAGTGTTCCCCTGGATTTCCCCCGGAGCCCTGCCCATCTCACCTTTTGTATATAGCACTGCCCCGCACCTTTTGTATATACACTTGTTGGACATTGTACGTTAATAAATTCTCTTATGTGCATCAATCCCCGGAGTCCAGCGCTGAGCCCATCTTGTACACCGTGACAACACATTAATTACACACTCCAAACACGCTAAACGTCACAAATCTCTCACATCTCAAAACTCGCTCTCTCTTTTTCTGCTGTCTTTCATTCTCTCTCTCTCTCGCCATCTTCCCCCTCTTCCTAAACAACCAAATGTCATGTTGCCATATCATTTTTTGATTGGTCGACATGGTGCATTTTTCCACCAACACAAATGGGCTACTTTTTTGGGGGTTTTGGTATAAGCAGAGTGCTTGCTAGCGCTGTCCTTAGACAGTAAACGTGACGAAACTATTCAGGAAAAAACACGCGTATATATTGTTTATCATGACTCTGGTTTCAACACAATTTAAAAACTGGTATATATCACCTTGTTGCTTTGTCATCTTGAAGTGGTCATGTGATTGGCTTACCATGACTACTTTATTCTTCCTCAGTCAAACGGCAGCACTCATGCGATTGTTTTGCCTCCTTAGCTCCAGGTTTTGTGCATTTTCTTGCTAGTAATGGTAACGGCATTGTAACAATAGAAATAGTAATTAGTTAGATTACTCGTTACTGAAAAAAGTAACACCGTTACTTGTAACGCTGTTATTCCCATCACTGTCAACATGTCTTGAAGTTCTCCAGAAGCGTGGTAATGAACTAATCATTTGATTCAGGTTTGTTGACCCAGGATGATATCTAAAACATGCAGGACACCGGCCCTCGAGGCCTAGAGTTTGAGACCTCTGCCCTAGACATATTAACTGACTGAGTCATCCTTGGCAGTAAGAACTGCAAGAAAATGTTTGCAACAACTGGCAACAAGTCTTTCATATTACTGTGGAGGAATTTTGAACCACTCTTTGTTGTAGAATTGTTTCAATTCATTCTGTAAATGACAGTTAAATGTATCATCTAAAAAGCTGAGTAGAGAGTAATTAAGTTTGGTTAGCTTTTTTTCTTGTAATTCATTCGGGTACTTTTTTTTCTGGTTTTAGTTTTTTTTTCTCTAACTTCCTTTGGTTGCTCCAATTACCAAATTATCAATGTTTCTAATACTCAAAAAATATAGTTGCAAATCTTGTGAATAAAATATACATCGAAAACAGTAAATCATTGCTGAGAGGAAGTCTTACCCATTTTTCCAAAGATCCACTAAGTGATTTTTGATTAAATCCAGGAAGCCATCGATCCAAATCCAGCCACTTTCATTCTGCCGCACAGGAAAGAAAAACTTCATCACATGTGCTCTCAAACTGAAATCTCAGCTTTTGTGTAACCTAAAGTATGAAGACAGTCCTTCTCAAGGCTCACCTTTGAGAAGCTGCACCAGTCCACCAGGACATCACAATGACCTGCAACAACATCAACAGTTAAAGAAAAAAAAAACCAATAAAGAGTGAAGTTAAGGCGAGGTTAATCCATGTGGATTGGAAGGTACATATTAAACATACTTTCAGTAAGGACCAAAATCTCCAAACCACAGTGGAGTTTTGTTATTGGACTCCTGTGCTAATCGGTGATGGCCATACCCAAATGGAAAAGAAATAGAAAAAAACTTATAAAAGACTTGCATAAGATGTGGCCTACTTGATATAGTGAATCATATAAGGCTTATATGATTTACTCATGAAAG